GGATAGAGTTCCACTTGACAAGGCTGGAAATTTGGTATACAGCAGTTTACATTTTAGACTTACTTGGCTTGAACTTTGGAGTGCTAGTCCTATGTATAGAGGAAAGATGTAGCCACCTGTTGCCTGTAAAGGTGCACAGTCACAGTAACACAGTAGCACAGGCTACAGAAATGTCGCCAACAGTGTTACACCTTATTTTCAGTTAGCAAATCATCGGGATTTTTTTTCGGTGGTGTTGACTTCCATATGTTTATTTCAGAAGTGGTATTCAGGTGTGGCTATTTCTCTTTCTGCATGTACAGTGTAGGTTAATACAAGCTGATAAGAGTAATTTCTCTTTGTACGGAGTGGCTCGGGTAGGTGGACAAGGCACTGAGTGATAACTTTCTATTCACAGAAAGGCCTGCCTACTTTGTGAATTTCTGTTCTGGTTGGAGAAGTCCCTGACAATCAGCTTTATTTTTAAATCAATTTAAATAGTGTTTTTGTGTATCTCTGCTTGCTGGGGAAAGTGTGCTAGCTAGCAAGACAGAAGTACACAGTTGGTATCTCACACAGACAGCTTGCTCGTCTGATCCAGGTACAGTAGCATGGATAGAGATGAAGACAACTACTATGGAAAACATGGTAATTTGCTTGCTTTTTAAAGACAATTCAAAACACCTGATCTAAATCTCATACATTTGAGCTGTGTTATTTCAATTGATTTAAATGGGGTTGGATCCAGACTCAAATGGTTTTCTGTAGATGCTTCAGTTATTAACAATATTCTCATTTTTTCCTGCATGTCATTTGCTAGTTTATTTAAATTGCACATTGAAGATAAATTTTACATGTGTATCTAGTCAATTTTTATTTTAGGTAAGTAATTTAGAGTTGCTTTTTAAAATTATTACAGTGATTTATTTAATTCATTAAATTTCATTAGATTAGATTTATTAAATTTATTAAAGTGTAACAATTAACTTCATATGCTTTTTGGAGTCAGAATTTGTAAATTTCTTGTGAGTTATTTCTTGTAATGATATTTTACTTCATTATACAAAAGTTTCATATTATAAGGCAGCCTCTAAAATAGATCTGTCTCATCTGCAAGGAACAAATATAATCCCAGTTTTTAATCTTAGCAAAAGCTGCCAGTCCCCCCTCACCACTGCTTTCTTCCTTATGCCTACCAAACTCCTAAAGCTTGGAATTTGCCTTCTAAATGCATTTGGGCTTTTGTTGCTGGGGAAGTGGTTTGCTTTTACCAGGAGTTATGTAGATACTAGAAAGATAAATAATTCCCCCCTCACCCCCCCAAAAAAAAGTCTGTATTTTTAAAGAATAGTAGTAATTAAATAGGGAATTTGAATTTAATTTAGAATTAAGTTAGAAAAATTAGATTAAACAAATGGCATTTTTCTTTTTTTTTTCCTGTTATTCCATGAAACTGATCACAGTTGTGATCAGCTGTGTCATGTTTTGGTAATGAGTGTTCCAGGGATCCAGACTACTTCTGACATTGAATTCCAGTGTATTTTGAACTTAGAATGTTGTTACCATTTCTTACCATCTTCTGCAATGAATTTATACCAAGAGCTCAGTGACAGAGGAGGTAGTTTGAGCAGTGTTGCCCTACACCATGCCACCACAAGCGTACAGACTGCTGGTGTGAGGAAGTGCTTGGAAGGAGTTTGCTGTACTGCAGTAATTTTACAGCTGTTAATGGTGGTTACTATTTCATAACATCCGTCTTCTTGCTTGTTGGAGATGAGAGTCTCCATTTGAGTTAAAGCTCCCTTTTTGTAGTGCTTTGTTTTTATCCTCTTATTTGTTACATCCATTTGGCTGTCTGTGTGCTGAGATGTTACATTTTCTTGTTCTCTTCCCAAGTGGTAATTGTGTAATCCCTTCTTAAAAACTTCAGGTGATGAAAACTCCAGTGTATGTCTCAGTATATAATTGTGTTCTGAAAGATTTCCTAATGCCTAATCTAAACTATCCTTGCTGCAAATGAAGTTAGCTTATCTGACTGGTAGAGGAAACAGAACTACTGATCGTGGTCTGTTTTGTGTGGTGATTGAAGACTCTTATTTTGTGCTTCTTTGTGTAATCACAGACATTGAAGTTGCATTCATTTACTGCTTTCTGTAAATCTCCTAATATCTTCTTTTAAATAAATCCCTCTACTCTTCCCAATTTGTTTGTATCTTCTGAAATTCTAGTGCCATGATCTAGAAATAGTTATTCATCTGAGGCCTCACATGTCCCCAGGTACAAGGAACGGTGACTTTTTCAGTCGTGCTTATACATCTTGAAAGAGTGGTGCTTTTTTTGAAGACATTGTTTGACTGACTCATTCTTTCTTTGTAGTGTGCTTCAATCCTTTAGGTTTCTTCTCAACAGTGTTTTTGAAATCAATTGTTCTGTATGGATTTCTGAGTAGAGTTTGTCTTTTTAACTTTTGTTACTTTACAAAAATAATTTTGAAGTGTTATCAAAATCCTTTTTGATAAATACTTCTGTCTCTGGAAGTATTTTAACGCTTGCTATCTGCACAGTTTCAATGTGTTCGTTCTACTTCATTGTTCTAATTTTTAAGGAGAACATTGACTAGCTTTGGAGAATAGGCTCCTCCAGTAGTGGGACTGAGCTTACTACTAAAATGCAAAAGTGAGAACTTGGAGTCTTAATGGGTGACTAAGTAAAAATGTTTGCCCACAGAAGCAAGTAGGCTGTTAGAAAGAATTGTTAGGAATAGACTGAAGTAAGATAGAAAGAATCATTGTAGGATTATAGGATTATATAAATCACATCCAATATTTGTGGTGAATAGCCTGTGCAGTTCAGGCCCCTTCTTTTCTAGTGATTTGTAATAGCACTGTCAAAGGTAAGAAAAGGAATAGAAGCATGAGTGAAACTATGAGATGGCTTATGTACAAGAAACATTTGAGCAGATCAGGACATTTGAGTATAATAATTTGTAACATTTTTGGTAGCATAACATGCTGCCACATTATACAATACAGTTATAAACTGATTGATTGCAAGCTTAAAACAGATAAAAGAAGGTAGTACTTCAATGCTTGATTAACTTGTAATCATCTGTGATGCAGGGAATTGCAGACTCTTATAGTATATGCAAGGTAAGTAGACATTTCTTGAATTTCAGTTTTTCAGTGAATGAAAAAGAAATTCCCTCACAGCTATTAAATGCAAAGTCAGTACTTTCAGTTAAGAAAAATGCAGTTGCAAATCTCTGTAATATCAGTGTTGGAGAAATACCACAGTGTTTACCTTGGTGCTGCATTCCTCCGCAGATATGGCCCCTTATAAGATTCAGGGTGTGGGTTCAGTGGATTTTTTTTTGTGTGATCTAGTGTGGTAGCTGTTCTTACGTGCTCAACAGGTCCTGTATGAGCAATGGACAGAGGTCCAACTTCAGTTTGCCTTACAGCCAGAACTTGTCTATAGGGCATGATGTTACATGCGCTTTTGTTCTGGTGGTAAATTATTATGTAGTAGAAAAGTTTATTTTGTAGAAATTTCTGTTCAAAAAGGTTCATTCAATATATAGGTGTTGGACCAACATTAGATATTGTGTATGGTACATTTGCTTTCTGGCCATGTATCACAGCATAGTTTCTTCCACTCCCCAGCATTGCTGTCATACATCACTTCTCCAAAGTTTTAATTTTTCGGTCTCTTCTGTATTAAGATTTTTTTTTTTTTTAGGAGCTTGCTAAGGGGGATCTGAATACCTCAGATGAAGGGCAAATAGGATTTTATTAATTGCTGTGTTTACTGTACTGCTGTATGTTTGTATTTTGATAAGGTTTTTCTGATACCAAACCAAGAACAAAGTCTGGCATTTAGTTAATAAGCAAATTCTGCTTTTGAGAAGTTGCTGAATTGTTCTCTAACTGACAAAAACAAGTATTTTTCTTTGGGGCCTAGGGGAGGAAGTTTAAGCTGGTAACACCATGTAATACTGGGGATGTTAAGGAGATCCTCAAGAAAGCAGTGAAAAAGCACTCTGATGCAGTAATTGCTATTGTAGCTTTGACATTTGAATGAAGAAGTAATTTTTCATTGCACAGAGTTTTGTTCAGTAAATCTTCATAATTACTGAACTTTGTAAAGAAAAGGTCCCATAAAGCTGGATAGCTAGGTTCAAAAGTAAAAATCCAAAATCTGGTCCGCTGAATGGAATACTGTTTGTTTGTCTTCATACGGTAGCTCAAAACTTGAAAGTTTCAATTTGACCATAATGTTTTGTTACTCTTTACCAAGTGAGATCATACTTTAATTTCTCTTATTCTGGGCCACGTTGGAAGCACAGGTTGGTGGGTTGGTATTTGATCGATTTTTAATATAGTTTTTTTATGTGTCAAGTAAATCAGTTGGACTGTGCAAACCAGAATAGCCACATGAAAATCAGATTGCCCATGGAGGCTGTGGATGCCCCAACCCCTGCAGCATTCAAGGGCAGGTTGGATGGGGCTCTGAGCAACCTGGTCTAGGAGGAGATGTCCCTGCCTATGCCATAGCAGGAGGTGTTGGGATTACATTTACGGTCCCTTGTAACACTTTAACATTTGATGAGTCTAGAGAAAAATCAGAAGCACATAGCCTGTAACTGCAGAAAGGTATCTTCATTTACTTACTGTCAGACACACAGCCTGTGAGTGGGAGACATAATCTTTGTCTCTCAAATACATTGTGAACATGTGCATAGGTGTAGTCATGGAATGTACCTTAAAGGTAATTTATCATGTGGTAAATGTGAGGCCCTCAATGTTTTTAAATTAGAAGAAAAAAAGCTTTAATTTCATGTACAAAACCTAGGTAATTTTATTGGTGAATTACTGGTATTTCCCATATGAAATGATTTTAACAAAACTGATTAAATAGGAATATATGGAAAATGCTCTTCAAAGGCTGGTGTTAACATCCCCTCTGGACAGATTTTATTTTAGATAAGGACAAGTTTTTATACTGTTTTATTTTAAATGCAGGTGAACCAAGGAAATTTGACCCGAAGTTCAGAGGACCTATTCATAACAGGTAAATATCATAACTCATTTTGTTAAATTCTTTTGGTGAATAGGGGTTAAAAATTTTTGTTAGCAAAACTTGGAAATTCTGTAAGTCTTCTAAATCCAGTTTAGCACCCTTGAGGATGGATGATTATTGGGGAGTATTAAGCTGTGTTCTCCCAAGTCCTTTTAGTTTGAATGTCAATTCTGTGTGCCTTGCATTGACTAGTATCTGCTGTCTAACGTGTAGGAGTTCTGATACACCTCTTTGTGACGGAGCCTCCTCCCAGAACAATCTGGCTTGACTTCACTTAGTTTTATGAAATGCAGGTGAAAGCATGTTGCCACTTAGAAGGTTCATTAGTTTACAGAGTGAAATTTCTCAGAAAGCATCCAAGGAAATCATAGAATCATTAAGGTTGAAAAATACCACCAAGATCATCAAGTCCAACTTCTAATTATGGGCAACTTTTCTGTGTTTTTCTAGATGTAGAGAGCCAAGTTCTAAACTAGCATTTACTGTCCTTACTGAGAAAAATAAATTAGAGAACCACAAGTTATTTCAGATTTATCGTTCTCAGGAGAAAATTTATGAGAGAGAAGAACACTGCAGACTTGCGGTGTTCGTACTATCATTTGAACACACACACTGTTCTTGTCTATGCAGAATGTATTTCTTCCTTTCTGAAAGCTAATAATTTTAGAAATTAATAGAAATACTTGTTTAGGGAGTTTGTCCTAATTTGTGAAGTATCTTTTTGATACTGCCAGTGTGTCAAGCCAAGCTTGAGTGGTGTCAGAACTGAATGGAGACAGGGAAAATGAGCATTGATATAGCATTGCTTCTTCAATTTTGATCAGTTGTCCTACCTTAAGTTACTCTCATGTTGACACTGGTTCCTGTACCACCTCAGCCTCACTAAAAGTTTATTTCAGTGAGATGATAAAGATGTTCCTCTCTAGAGAAGTATCTACACTTGGAAACGCATTTCAAGTTCTCCAGCTGCTCAAAAAAATCTGCTCTCTTTATCTCTTTTACATTAGAAATGTTTCTCTGTACGAGGAAACATAGATTGGAAAAAAGAAAGAATGGCAGGTGCTAAAAATGAATTCTGAGGCAGATGTCCTATAGTATGTCTTGCCACTTATATGATCACTTGTATGATAAGTGATATCATGGGTTCAGTGTTGTAAGGTATTACTTGTTTCAACAACATTTAAATATGTTTCTCAATATGTTCTCATTGTCTAGAGTGAAAAAAGCATACACATTTATTTGCTGGTCTTGCTGCAAAAACAGGACCTTACACCTCAAACGTGAGTTTGTGACTAAAAGTTCTGCAAAGTACTGGTGCAGATATCTTATTCGGATGTATAAATACCTTATGACAACCAGTGTGTTGCGATCCAGTGGTTTTGAAGGGTTATATTAAACACCTTATTTTTTAAAAGTGTTTCTTCTTGCCCCTACCTATAGGCACTGCACAGACATTATTTGCTGTGTGATCTTCATAGTTGTCATTCTGGGTTACATTGCATTAGGAGTTGTGGGTAAGTAAATAGAGGTATAGTATACTTTTTCATAGAGAGGGGAAGCAGCTTTGTGAATGTTAGAATTTTTAATTGAAATGTCCCTTTTGCTTATATTTGTGCAAAGCTTTCCAATCGATAAAGTAATGCCTTTTGTAGAAGCAAATAATGAATTAACATTCAGTATCTATTGTAATTCGCAGAATGACAGGCTGGGTAAGGCTGAAAGGGACCGCAGTGGGTCATCTGGTCCAACATCCTTACTCAGAAGGGTCATCCCAGAGCATATGGCACAGGATTGCGTCAATGGTTCTGGAATATCCCCTGTGAGGGGAAACTCCACACCCTCGCTGGGCAATCTGTTCAAGTGTGTAATCACTGCACAGGGAAGAAGTTTTTCCTCCTGTTAAGGTAGAACTTCCTGAGTTCGGTCCCTGCCCGTTACACTGGTGCCAGTGCTGGGCCCCCAGAGCAGAGCCTGGTTCATGCTCTGCCCCATCCATGAAGCCAGGGACAGCCAGGGACACCCAGGAACAGCCAGGGACAGCCAGGGACAGCAAGGGCTGAGGGCCCCTCTCAGCTGGGGCTCCTCTCCAGGCTGAGCAGCCCCAGCTCCCTCAGCCTCTCCTGGGCACCGAGATGCTCCAGGCCCTTCCTCAGCTCAGGAGCTCCTGTCCCTGCTGTGCTGAGGATCCAGAGCTGGACACACACTCCAGAGGTGTCTCCAGGGCTGGGCACAGGGGCGGGATCCCTCCCTGACCTGCTGGGAATGCTCTGCCCGAGGCACCCCAGGATCCCATTGGCCTCTTGGCCCCCAGGACAAACTGCTGGCTCAGGGACAGCTTGTTGTCCCCCCAGAGCTGCTTTTTGCAGGTAATTAGAGAGAAGTTCAAAGCCATGTGTTTACTGATATAAAAAACCCATCAAAATTAAGTGTGCTCAAAAAAATGACAGAGTTTGAAAAGTTTGCAATCAAAAAGTAACTGTGATGGAAAATTTCAGGCAGCAGAAGCTAGAGAAAAACAATTTGGGTTGAGAGCAGCCCTGAGGAGAAGGAATTGGCAATGCTGACTGATGAGGTTTGGGCATGAGCCAGCCATATACACTTGCAGCCCAGAAAGCCAAACGTATCCTGGGCTGTTTTGAAAGAAGTGTAGTCAGCAGGTGGAAGGAGGGGGTTCTGCCCCTCTGCTCTGCTCTTGTCAGACCCCGTCTGCACTCCTGTATCCAGCTCTGGGGCCCCCAGCACAAGAAGGACATTGACATGTTGGAGCAAATGCAGAGAAGTGTTCTGAGGACTGGAGCACCTACTATAGAGGCAGGTTGACAAGTTGGGATTGTTCGGTGTGGAGAAGAGTGCACTCTGGGAAGACCTTAGAGCCCCTTCCAGTGCCTAAATGGTCTCCAAGAGAGCTGGAGAGGGACTTTCACAAGGACATGGAGTGACAGGACAAGGGGAAATGGCTTCTAAACTGACAGAGGGCAGAATTAGGTTGGAGATTAGGAAGAATTTCTTCCCTGTGAGGGTGGTGAGGCCCTGGAACAGGGGAAGGCCTTTGCCCAGAGAAGCTGTGGCTGCCCCATCCCTGGCAGTGTTCAAGGGCAGGCTGGAGGGGTGCTTGGAGCATTGGATTGCTTTTTTGCAGATTAGTCCATATCTAGTATGGCTTACTGTGCTTTGCATTTTAGTTTTTCATTAGGAAGTCTACTAATCAGTACTCTCCAGTGTTGATCAACACAGTATTAAAATGATACATTTTCATGCTAGCTAGTTTTAATCATTAACTGTGAACATTTGACTGAAACCTTAAGAGATATTGTATATTTTGCAGCTTGGGTGCATGGGGACCCCAGGAAAGTGATTTATCCAACTGACAGCTATGGACAGTTCTGTGGTCAGAGAGATACCCTCAATGAGTGAGTACTAAATCCATTCACGTACCTTTATTACTTGTGCGGTGTGAATAAGATGTGGTTTCAAATCTCTCTGTCGAAGAGACAGTGACACTCTGACAGTATTTATTCCAAATAAAGCACAGAAATATATTAGTTTCCCAGTGCAAATCCAGATGCAAATTATTACTGTAATGCAGTTGTTTGTGTCATTTAGAGAATATTTTTTTGTAAGGTATCAATATAAATTAAAGATTGTGTCAGCAGTTAAATAGAAAGTGACTAGCTGGCACAGCTTCTAACTGCCAAAGTTTGGCAGGGTAATTCATAGCCCATTGAGTAATTCTTCATCCGCCTTGGGATATGAGTAGTCTTAAGACATTGTAGCCTGGTCTATAGTTTTTCTCAGCCTGCACCAAATAACAGAAAGGTCTGTAGTGAAAGGCTCTTGTTTTTTTTCTGGTGCTTATCCACTGCTGGTAGAGAGGAGACTGAGTAGTGTGGGAGACAGGCAACTGTAACCAACCACATCTTCCTTGGATAAACAGGAGGTAAATAGAACCAAATGGCTCTATTTACTTATCTCTGTTTTTCAGTCATTTTAGATTTTGAATTGTAGGAGTTAAATTAGTTGGTTGATACCAACAGAGTACTTACACATGAAAATAACTGCTCAGGGAAGAAAGATGTTGCATCAATATTTTCTCTGAAAATCTAAGAGGTTTATGAAGCAGAATTTTAAAAAAGATTTACCTTTTCACTCACCGTCGTCCTCCCTTCAAAAGATAAGTTTTAGGCACACTTTATGCCCTTGTTACTGTCAAGAAGCTGCTATGCTAGTATTTGATAACAACTCTTTGCTGCTTCTTCCTTTCCTCATTTAGTTTTCTGTGGAAAAAAATAAGGAAGCCACTGTCCAAAGGGCAGTTCAGAAGGGGCGGAGCAGGAGATAGAGACCGGAGACAGGAGATAGGAGATAGAAGCAAAGCTAGGGCTATATATCCTCTCAAGTTTTTTTTACAGGCAAAACAGGCTAGTGAAAGAAAACCTGTTCTACTCTCTTACTATTTTTCACAGCAATTCTTGGAGAGTCAAACTTCCTGAAGAGGAAAAACAAGGAGAAAGAGTTGTAGTAGTGTGTGCTCCCTTGACCATACTCCTTCTCTGCTCCCCACCTTGATGCCAATTTGTCCTTGTCCCCTGTGTCGCCAGCAGGAAGTAGTGGACAAATGGCTTTGGGAGTCTCAGACACACAGCTTCAATATCCTGTGTGATGTGGAGCCAGGTGTTTCTCTCTGATTCTTACCATTCACTTCCATTCCTTCTTTCTCTTTGTTACTTGATCCTTTGCTTTAGTTATTTCTTACACAATGGTTTTCAGTTTGTATTTACAAATGACTCTCCCTATTAGGATTACTAATCCCTAGGATTACTGGAGAATATAACAGCTACTGAGACTGCATTTTGGCATTCATTTGGTACATTGAGGAGATTCTTATAAAAATGTAAATCAGAAGACACATAATACAGCCTACTGGAAAATGAAGAGTGTTTACGGCAGTAGGCCAGGACACCCCTCTGAATGAGTCCCTCTAGTTCCTGGGGCGGGGCTGTGGATGTGCTTGTGAGGCTTTTGTCAATACCATTGTTTTTCAGATTCCCTGAAAGTAAGCAGTGTGAAAGACTAACTCAAAGCTGTGGTTTTCCAAAGTCTCCAGAGGTTTAATCTGAGACATTTTTCTTGGAAAGTAATCAGTCTTCATGTTTTGAATCTTGTCCTTGTAACAAGTATTTTCAACAATCTCACTGAGGAGTAGAAAAGACAAGTTAGAAACAAAGCCAACGCTCACAGCTTGTGCAAAAACCTATTTGAACTCCAGTGAATGCTGTGCAGTCAAATAAATTCTTTTTGTATCATCATGAAAGTCTCTGTTAAACTTCTTCATGTCTTCTTGTTATCTGTCCATTAATTGCCATTTGATCTCTGAACTTGTTGTGCCTTCTACAGCGCATTGTGTACTAATGGAATACAACACAGTTTCATTATACAGAATACAGACCTAATTCTGAATGGGTGTGTGGCTGTTTTCATGTGTTATGTATATGTTTAAACTTTATTTTCTGCTTTCAATACCAGTAAGTGGGCTAAAAGTAAAATTAAAAAAAATAAAAAAAATCATTAATGGTTTTGAGCAGCTCACAGATCATAAATAATCCCTTCAAGAAACTATTGAAGAATGATGACATTTCAGTCCAAAATTGTATTCTACTAATTTGAAGAAATAGCAACTAATGGTGGTGAATTAGTTTTGCCAGGATGCATCTTTTCTTAAACAGTGCCTAGCAGAATATACCTCAGTGAAAACAAGTTAACCTTGTTGAGTTAACCCCAGTTTTAACTGGAGCTTGACTATGCAGTGGTGCTATATAATGGCTTCGAAGGCACAGCCCTATTCAGCAATTGGTGGGAGTCACGTGCTGGTGGGAGAGCAGAGGATATGTCCCAAACTTGGGGATACAATGAGATGTAGAAGCAGGACTAGTGTTGAAGCAGGACACATAGAGGAGGGACAGCCTTGTTAGCCCAAGCACCCTTGATTGTTAATACTGCCATGCTGCTCACAAGACAGAGCTCCCATTGTGCTGCATTGCCATGGTGAAGGTCAGTGGGGGCTCAGACACTGCTTTGTGGGGTCTCTTGCACATCACAGAAGCATAGAATAGCCTGAGTTGGAAGGGACCTTAAAGCTCATCTCATTCCAACCCTTGTTCCATGGCTGGGGACACGTTCCATTAGATCAGGTTGCCCTGTTCAACCTGGCCTTGAGCACTTCCAGGGATGGGGCAGCCACAGCTGCTGTGGACAACCTGTGCCAGGGCCTCACCGCCCTCACAACAATGAATTTCTTTCCAATATCCGATCTAAACCTACTCTCTGTTAGTGGGAAGCCTTTCCCCATTGTCCTATCGTTCCAGGCCCTTGTAAATGGCCTCTCCATATTTTTTGTAGGCTCCCTTCAGGTACTGGAAAGCTACAGTTAGGACACCCCTGAAGCTTTCTCTTCTCCAGGCTGAACAATCCCAGTTCTCTCAGCCATTCCTCTTGGGAGAGGTGCTCCATCTCTCTGATCAACTTGGTGGACTTTCATAGTCCATAGAGGGGCATATGCAGCATTTCTTCCAGGAGTAATGCATAACCCTGGCTAGCTGGCTTTGAAGTCTTGTTTAAAAAGGGCAGGTCTATTGCCGTATTATCTTCACTAGAGCTATCTGATAATTTTCTGACATAGTGAAGACTAACAGCACATTTTGCTGTCTTCAAAACCCAAGTCTTTAAATCAAGAGATCTTGGGGTCCTCAGTTTCCAATAAATTCAGACTTAAGTAATGGCTACCACAAGGCTCCAAGTTCTGGTAGATGTGGGACTGACAGACTGACCGTTATTTATATCAAGGGGGATCTTGTCAGTGTCATTAGTAGATGATATTATATTCTGCTTTCTGGACAACTGCTTCTGGTTTCAAACCATAAAAAGCTTCTGATTTATTTTGGTGCCACCTTCTGATCAATAACAATTAGGCAGCTTTTACAGTGAAGCATTTGCTGATAGTGAGTTTGCATGCAGTGCATACACAGGATGTAGGTGGCACAGAGACTATGGTGTTTTTTGCAGTGTTATTTTACAAACCTCACCCTCTCGAGGCAGGACTACAGATACATGGATTGTTTCAGCTTAAAATCTTGCTGTGGAGAATAGCTTGTCAAAATTAGCATTATTTAGAACAAATGCTTGTGGTTTCATAGATGTCTTGATGTGAAACATTCAAGGTCTACTTGGATTTTTTTTTTGTCTTGAGTTTGCAATATGGATGTTCACGGTAATAGAATTTAAATATCAATGTATGCTACAAATTTTGAAATGGTAGGATGTATAAGCACCTACGTTTATGATGATGATTATCTTATATCCATTTCCATAGGAACAAAACCATTTTGTTTTACTTCAATATTCTGAAATGTGCCAGCCCCGTAGTGTTAATAAACCTACAGTGCCCTACAACACAGGTGAGTGAAAATGTGGAGGTAAAATATTTTCCCTGCATCTTAGTCAAGGTGCTTAAAAATGAGATGTGTATTTGTTTAGATTTAAAAATTGTTGTTCATGTCCTTCAAAATACAACACGACTGTTTTATAAATGACATGTAGCACACACTCTCTGTAGCTTGTGGCGGTCAGAAAAATGAAATGGAAATGCACAAGATCATGTATTTTATGTAAGAGTAGACAAAAAAAAGTCTGCTGACTTGAATACAGCAATTTGTTACTTATGAATTCATCACAGGCAACTATCCAGTAATATTCAGTGCATGCAAAAAATATTGATTTATATCTAAGGTTTTCAAAGCTAGACATGTTCAAGGTACTTCATATCGCCAGTGACAGGAGTATCTGGGTGTGGTTAGAGCCTATGGCTCTTTCAAAAGTGAAGATTTTGAAAGCTTGTTCTTGCCTTATGCCACAATTTGTACTCTGTTTGTTGTGCTGTGACTCCTCATGAAGTTGTGAAATAAACCAAATCACTGCATTTGTGTGGGTTAAGATTAATCTCCTGATCTTTCTTACAAGACCATTTTCCTGACCATAAAACTTGAAAATCTCTAACAAGAAAGAGCAAGAACCCTCTTAACACTGGCTAGTTGCTGTCAGAAATAAAACATGCTCCATCAGCTGCAAATCTGCTTCAGGAATCTCCATCTGTCCACATGCAGACACTGGCACTGTTACCCTGCTGACTTTAGACTCTTTTACTAAAACAGTTCAGTCTGTCAGAAATACGAGGTCATTGTGTGGGATTTGACTGGTGCTGTGGTCAAGTTGGCAATGGCCATGAATCAAATAGGGTGAAGGACTTGTTGAAGGAGAGTTTTTGGAAGCAGAGCAGTTACTTTGTTCATTTTCAAATAATGTGACAACTCCAAAACTAAGAATGCTGTTTTTGAATGCTGTTTATTACTGCAGATGGGTAAATTACTGGTCTTTTTGGAAATTGCTGAAGAAATTTTTTTTGATCATTTCTCTTTTGAACAGCAAACAGTGTCTTCATTCCTGACCTATACATCTAAATGTACATATATACAAATATACATAGCAGGAGAAAAAAACCCCAAGAACTAACATGAGAAGAGCTTCAGTTCTTGAATAAGACTGGATTGGAAAGCTGTTATTACAGCCCATGGGATCCATAGACAGCACATTTCACTGCCAGTTTCATAGATGGCAAACAGTTTATAGCAAAGTATGTACTTGTTAGTCACCTGTTGCCCCAGCAAGGACAGAACTCTTCTTTCTTTGTTCCTTGGGCTGTGGGTAGTCTGTAGGACTAAAATACTCATCTAGAAGGACCCTCTTGCAGCATCTGCCCTGTTCTAAGGATTACTACAAGACCTCTTCCCAAAATTCTTTTAATTTACTTACAACGGAATGCCTTTTACATGAAAGACAGTTTTTTGTGGATGATGTCTGTCTCGTACTTGGACAGCAGAGCTTTGCAAAGGGTGTTTGGATAGCACAGCTTTGGAAACAAACTGCCTTCTAGAAAAGGTTGAAACTTGCTGTTAAGATGGAATTCAAACCACCTCACAGTCTTAACACTGAGGACCCAGAATGTCTGTCCACTTGTGTGATTCCAGAAACAAGCAGAACCTTCAGAATCTGTTTATCAGGGCAGCCACTTATCTAAATCACAACTTCTCAGTGGATGCATTCAATAAACCCCAGTCCTCACCTGTTTTCTCACGTTAATCCAGCTTATAATGGCTGTACTTTGAGTCATGTGAACTTCATTCTTGACATGAGCATCCCCATTCTTTGTAACTAGGGGAGATCCATTCTTAGTCTGTACTCAAAACTCACTTTTGAGTGATTTACGCCTAACTTGGCAATATTTGTACAGATGTGATTGGCTGAAGAGGTTGTGTAGAAGGGTGGAACAACATTCCCTGAGACTTTTGATTTTAGTGAGGCTTTCTTTAAATAAAGTTCTCTTTATACACGTAGTAGAAAGAAATTGCATGTGTCCTGTGAAAGTAGCTGTCACACCACCTTGCTCATATATACTGCTGCTGATAGATGTAGACGAGGAGCACCTGACAGGTTTTTTGCTTGCTGTCCAAAAAAATAAATGATACTCTTTTCAACAGACTGGAAGCTCTTCTTACCTATCAGAATGTGTAGAACCTAAGAAGATACAGAGAGGGGCTTGATATACCAGATATGAGGAGAACACACGTTTAAAGTGTTTTCTATCAAAGAATTCTCTAAGTATTCATTTAGGGAATCTAAAGGACAACATATCCTTTCTAAAACCTGCAGTAAACATTACTGAAGGCAGTGGCATTTTTCTTGCTTTTTCATTGCACCAACTTTCCTTACCCTTCTCTACCCAGAGTGTATCTTTACTTACATTTTTCTTTTCTTTCAGCTTTGTGTCTCAAAGTGCCCAGACAGGTTTGCAACCTACATTGATGTTCAGGCTTCCTACAGATACAGACCAGATCAGTGGAATTACTTCAGGCAGTTCTGCAAACCTGGTTTTAACAATCCTCGCAAGGTGTGTATGTATCTATAGATGATAAAGTACGTTTGTTCTTCAAGCATTATGTAATATGCATGATTTTTCTGAGCTGCATCAAAGATTTGATTTACTCTGATTTCAGCATATAAGATGTCCCATTTATGTGATTTGACAGTTGTTTAATCCAGGCTGAAGGTCTTGAATGCACACTAAATCCCCCACTCTTGAAATGATTGCTGTTTGCTTAAAAGACTACCTGCAGCTACCCATGTAGTTGTAATACTGTGGCAAGCAGTAACCTTTAGTACTTAGGTACCCCACAGCAGTAGAGTGGAGTGTCTCAAACCAGTTCTTAAGGGTCCTAAGTCATCTATAGCTGCTTGAAAAGTTAGCTAAGAAAATTAATCTATCCTTCATGTATCTGAATTTGCACTCAAATGTACTGCATTACTTCTCCCATCTTTAAAACATCTTGCAATTTAGCTATATTAATTGGGTTAAATTCTTACTTTTCTTTAAGAGGAAGGGTAGGCAAGGAACAATTGCCCAGTCAGTTCTGGTTTAGATACTGATCCAAAGGTCTTTTCTTTTATGTCACTAGAAAAGAGTAGTCTTTTCCCAAGTCATGATGACAGCTTGGATTCTCACTTAGATATAAATGTATCTTGCAGCTCCACCAATGAAATTTGGGAAGGAGGCTACAAAGCCCAGTTTGGGGCATTCCCTCAGAATGGGTGAGAAACAAACAACACTAGTTACACTGCTATGTATTCAGTGTTCCTATTTTTCCCCTTTTTAGTCTGTTGCTCAAGTCCTACGTGATGAAGATTGTCCTTCGATGATCATTCCAAGCAGGCCTTGTGAGTGGTTCTACTTCTTATACACATCTTAGCAGATTTGTGAGTGTTCATATTAAAGAACAACTACAGCCTGAAATGTGTTTTGTGGCAATATCACTAGGAGCTTTCTGTTACCTGACATTGACATCCATTCAGTTTTAAAGTATAAATCAATTCAATTTGAAAATATAAATATTTATTAATATTTTTTCTAACAGTCATCTGGGAACATTTAGCATGTGATCAAGTCATGCTGAACTCTTTCTTGCTCTAGAATCATCAGTGATAGCAAAAGCTCTTTAACTCAAATTGTGCCTTCCAAAACAAGAGCAAGCAACGCCATTGGCATAAAGAAAATGCTGTGAATGTTGGAAGGATCATATGGCCAGCTGTTGAAGTTCAAATGATACTTCAGCCCAGTTACAATGCAGCTTTCTGTTCAGTGCAATGCTGGCTACACAGGACATACAGAGGAATTAAGGGGCAAAAAATGTCACTATGGTCAACAAGTGTTTCTGAGTAGATAACCACTGATTTCAGAGCTCGTCTCAGCTGCAGGAGTGTCGTACTGACCAAGAATCTTATGGAAATAAGAAATTGCTGTTTATTTTTGCCATACTTTATCATGTAAACCAGGAACATGTCATTAAAATATAGATTAAATTTTCAAAACATAGTATGAGTTTGTATGAAAACTGAAGTACTGACTCAAAAGACATGAAATAATTTACAAAGAAGCTCTTATATTCTTTTAGACTACATCAAGGGGCAAAGATTGCACGGGGAGGAAATGATACATTAGGATTTGTTCCTTAATCATTTAGTCAGAATGATTGCTGGGGGAGATGCACCAGACTGAATACTGAGCCCTGGCATTGGTATTTGTTGGAATCTGGTAAGGAAAGAACTGAATGTTTATGTGAAGTACAGCTCTGAAGGAGGACTCAGCTGCTCTTCTCCTTGGAATGAAACCAAGGATGGTTTGCAGTGAAGAACAGGGCAGTGTAAATGAGTATGCAAACATCTCTCCTTTTCTCTCTTCTTTGTAATCTCGTCTTCCCTCTCTCTAGCCAGTTGTTTCCGTCTTTTTTTCCATTGTTTCATCTCCAAGAATATCTAATGGTAGTGACTGATACTGGAGCTCATCTGGCATATAAGGAAACTGACACTTGCTGTTATATATTGTTTTGGGGGCTAATATGATTCATGACCAGTCAAGTTGAATCTGTTCCTGGGGGCTGGTCTGATTATTACCTTAAAATGGCGTATTTGAGAAGCTGCAGTTTTTTTAATCTGCCCAGATACTGACAGAGAGTAAGTTCCACATTTATTACAAATTCTTAAACTCCTGTGTATAGTACTGCTGTTACTTGGTAGGACCTAGAATCTCCAGTTGAAATCTATGATCCCACCCTGCCTGAGCATATATAAAAAGCCCCAGAGCATAGAAATCATAATCTTGAATGTAATGGCTCTTCCAAGATTTGTCAAAGTCAACATATTATTAGATAATCAGTTGAAAAACAATTGACTGTGAATCTGAAATTATTTAAATATGTTACAAAACACACATGATAAAAGCGGAGCTTGACATGAAATGTAATATGCAGGCTTTGTTTTGATATTTTGAATAGTTCTGAAGAGATGCTTCCCAGATTTCTCCACGAAGAATGGTGTGTTGACCGTGGCAAATCAGACTACATTCAAAGATGGAAGAGGGAAAACAAGAAATGTAACTGATCTCAGGGAAGCTGCAAAGTAGGTTTTACCTTTCTTCAGTGTTTGTTGGATTCTGAGATTGTGCAATAATTTAGTAATGGAAAAAAAAAATCAGAGTCTGTCATAGCAAATGACTGAGGGTACCCAAGCAAGACTTGGTATTGAATAGTCTCTCTGTGCCTGAGCATTTCCAAAGTTCCATTAAGGACATCCAGCACTGTTCTGTGCTAAAACTGTGCTGAAAAAGTACTAAAAGCTTTAGTCCAATGGTATCAGTCATTTGTTGAAATCATTCTTGTTTTTCCTAGCAAAAATAAGTTTTCTGAGGAAAGTTAAATGAGGTTCAAAATGCAGTCCTCATGCTGCAGGACTCAGGCCAGCCAGTAATGGCCTTGGCTATCCTTTCTGCTACCTTTCTGCTACCATGGACTGGCCTAGTACTTTGGGTATGTCACCTCATCAGAGTGCTCCTGCTTCTGGTAAAAAGTAATGTATTGGGCTGTTCTTCAGAAAACAATTATATGGGCAAGCATTCTGCAGGATAGAAAAACAGTTCCGTGAAGTTGTTCCATTGACTAGTTTCTTGGTTCTGTGCTATTAGCAGTTCTGGAGTCACAACTGTTTGTGTCCTGGTACATTGCAAATATTGATGCTGTACACTTGTCTTGTGACATAATAAGCAATTCTGACAATAAAGCCTTTTTAATAAATTACTTTTCAGGACTTGTAGAGACATTCTTACACAGTTTTTTTCTTTGCTGTGATTGATGTTTGCTTGGTGACAGAACTGGGGCTGAAAAATTATAATATACTCTTATCACTGCCAAAGATATTTCAAATTCTTTCACTGATCCTGCTTGTTGTTTAAATAAATTCTCACTTTCTACCTGAGGCAATCTTTTCTTTGATTTTTCTTTTCTCAGTGGCATCAATAATGTCCTGGATGCAAGATCAGTTGGAATGAAAATTTTTGAAGACTATGCCATTTCTTGGTATTGGATTTTAATGTAAGGGTTTTTGTTGGTATTTTAGCATTTCCAAACTCATTCTGGAGTGTGCAGGGTATAGAAAAATAGATCATGTATGTATTTGGTACAAATCCTACTTTAAAACTCAAGGAGCAACTGTAATTTCCATTCATCACACATGATAATAAGATTGTTATGGTTTTGTGTGTGAAGTAAGGATAGTACAGCATACATACATGGAGTGTCAGTTGATCTGGAATAGCTTTTTAATGTCCTGCCAGACAGAAAATCAAGAGGTGCAGTGTTCTGTTGCAGCACCCATGTGTGTGGCAACTCCAAAACTGAAAAATCTTAATTAAGTGACTTTCAAGCCAGTTGCAGTTGCCAAGTGTTGCTAGCATATATATAAAACAGATAGTTTCAAAATTCATGCAAGCAATATACAGTTAAATCCATTATAATATTCAATTTCAACATAAATCCATAAATCCAATGCAGCAGGCAAAGCAACATCAAGAATAAAAATTATTGAGGAGTATTAACTTTATCTTGCAATTAATATTCATTAATCACCAATTAATTAAAATGCAGCACTGAAACAAGAGAAGAAGCTACTTTGCTAAAGCAAATGTGTCAGTATTTGTGAATTCCTAGCCCATTGATATTGGTTTTGATGAACCAGTGTGTTGATCTATTTAAACAAGAACAGAACTTGTCACCAGGTGAGAACCTATAACATGCACATGTTAAGCATACATTAGTCAATCCTGAATGCAAATCCATAACAATTAATACATACTTTAGATAATAATATGGCGATTTAGTCAGTTCAGAAGCATGAGTTGTCAACTTTTAAAGATCAGTCACTGGTGGAAAGACAGTTTTCTCATAGTTTGATACTCAGCTCACAATGTTTGGTAGCAGGAAACTCACATATATTCAGCAAGCTTGGGTCTCTCTATCTCTTAATGAAATCAGGCTAATGGTACAGATTCTTTCAAAGGAGATACCACTCAACACACTAGACAGAAACACATCATTTTTTTGAACAGAAATTCTAAATCTTGAAACAGGTTTCCACATTTTGAATATGGTATTTTTACTTTTTTTTTGTAAGGAAGTGTTGCCACTTTAAGGTAGTTGGATAGGTAATTTTCTTCACACTTTTCACCCAATGCTAGCATAGATCAAATGCATACATCAAATGTTGGGTGATGACAGTGCAAGGGAGGCTGGATTAAAATTTAAATACAGAATTGCTGTAATCTTTTTAGCATACCCCAAAAGAACACTGCTTCAAGGCTCAATTTAAGGGAACTACTCCATTGAAGACAGTTGCTACTATGTACTCAGTTTCGGTGTTACTAGGACTCATATATACTAAAGATAACTTTAGATAAGGGTAATTTACTGCTTTCACGATTGAACTCCAAAACTACAACTTTTCTTGAGGAATACATTCTGAATTTCAGTAAATCATTCAGAAAGGGAAAGTACATCAAGCTAGGAAGCCTTTAAAGGGGTAGGACTTAAGGCAAGCTTAGAAAGGTTTAACTAAATAAGCTGATGTGCTATTTTATGATCAGGCTGCCCCATTTTTTAGCTTTGCTTATTGGCTAAATAAGCTGGGAACATTCAGAAGAAAAATGACTGAACACAGGCAAGAAGGGGGTTTAAATTTTTTTGAGTCTGTACTAATAAAAAATTCAGATGTAACACTTAATAAAAATGAGACATTAATTGTTCTTTGAAGCACCTGAGCTGGATATTTGTTTTATGGGATTAATATTCATATTGCTTCCTTCATAATTGTTTAGAAAGCTTTGCAGAGGAAAAAAGTCTTTTGCAATAATTTTTTCCTTTTGGACTTGCTTTCTAGGAGTGAAATGAAAATATTCTATGTAGCAGCAGCAGTAGTAGTAGTAGTAGTAGTAGTATGTTATTATTATTATTATTATCTTGATGAAGAGAAGGCACTGTAGACATCTTTCCTAGGACCTGCATAGTAAGGCTCTTAACAGTTTCTTTCTATGCATCATAGTGCCATGATCATTTCCTCTTCTGATTAGTAGAAGTGGTGATGAGTAGAAATTATGTCCTCCTAACCTCCTGATGGCTTTCCTCCTAAATTTAATTTTTTATTTTTTTTCCTAGGAAGCTCCTAAAATGTTGTTTACTAACATTGTTTCTTTGCAAGCAGGGGTTTTCTGTGGAGGACATAAATCAGCAACTTCCCCACATATAGATATTCCTCCAATTTAACTTTCTGTACTAAAGATTCGACTGTGGCCTGAAAAAGGCAGTGAGTTTTTCAGCTGGTGTAAGTGACAAAAACACATTATATTAATCCCATTCAACCAGCCTGAGAACACAGTGCACATAAACATTTCAGGCTCTGCCCTGTGAGGTCATCATATATAAGCTCTTTGTAATGGCAGATAATAGCCGTGAGAATGTATTTCATAAAAAAGATTTTGAAATACATTTTCACAAGTCATGCTATTATGAGAGATGAAGTGACCCTCATTTGGAGTAGCAGGAATGCAAGTGAATAGATAGATTCTCACACTCATTTTTCCTGTGTTTCTGTTTCTTGACTTTCTAGTGGGCTGTTCATTGCAATGATGCTGAGTCTGCTCTTCCTTGTGTTGTTGAGGTTCACAGCTGGGGTTCTCTTCTGGATTTTCATCTTTGGTGTGATTGGTATTATAGGTTATGGTAGGTGTAATTTTCTAGCCTCTGAGACTATTTTTTCTTACTGCTTAAATCTGGGGAAAGAAAATCAGTAGTTACTTCAATTAAATGGTACAGTTGGGTGAATTAATGCTTAGTTTTTGACACAATTAAGTGAGAAGGACATAAATGCAGAAAAATGTAGTAAGAATTCAGCTGTGCTGATACTTAGCAGCTGATGTAGCAACCTGCATCACTTGTGCACAGTATACTTAGTCTGTAATCACTTGTACTGGTATTTCTTTCCCATATATGTGATATCATAATTGGCTAGTTTCATAGTGATGCATTCTTGGGTTTTGCTTACCTGACAGGCTTATACAAAAGCAAAACATTTGGCTTGTAAGATTTTTTTTAAATTTGTCTTTGCCCTCTTCAGACATGTTCCTGTTATATTGATTGTTTTTTAAAAGGCATCTGGCATTGTTACTGGGAGTATGATCATCTTAAAGGAATACCTGGATCTGACCTCACTGTTTATGATATTGGATTCCAGACAGACTTCAAAGTGTACCTGCAACTGAGGCAAACATGGTTAGCCTTTAGTAAGTGCTCTTTAAATTTGGTATCTGTTAATGGATATTCAGGAAAATCAGTCAGTGTCTTGATACACTTTCTGCCTTGTTAAATCTCCTCCTCTACACATTGCTCAGAGAAGCAAGTAGAATTCCTTTTCTCTCTATTGTGCAAAAATGTGCTTTTTTCAAGGACACTAGTATATTTGTAAGGGGAGATAATGCAATCACACTAGTGATAAGAGTGAAAAAATCTTTTGTTATTAGCATTCTGCTTTCTGTGTGTTCAGTCTTCATCATGGGGAAAACAGAAGGTGATAATTAAGTTCATCATGATGAAGTTGCATATGGAGGGGTACTTTTCTCTATCAGATAATTTTTCCTCCCTCTTTGAGAGCCCCAGAAATTAGATTAATAAGTCACATTAATAACTACACTTTTTTGTGTCTTAGAATCATAAAATATTCTGAGTTGGAAGGGGCTCATCAGGATTGTAAAGTCCAGCTCCTGGCCCTGCACAGGACACTCTAGCAATCCCACCCTGTGCCTGGGAGTATTGTCCAAATGTTCCTTGAGCTCTGACAGCCTTGGGCCCATGACCACAGCCCTGGGGGAGCTGTTCAGTGCCCGACTCTGGGGGAAGAACTTTTTCCTGATCTCCCACCTGAATCCCCCTGGCCCAGCTCTAGCTGTTCCCTTGAGTCTTGTCATTGGACATGAGAATGAAGAGATCAGTACCTGCCCTTCTACTTGCCCTTGTGAGGATATTGAAGACCACAATAAGGTCTCCTGTCAGTTTACACTTATGCCACTGAATTTTCTTGGAGTCTGATCTAAGACTCTGGAACGAACCATATTGAACAAAATCCTCCTGGAACCTGCAGCATACACGTTCCTCCCCAAGAAAGCGGGGACAGAAGAGAGAAGAAGTAACTGTGAAATACTACTTGCACTCCTGTTCCTGATCTATTAGAAGGCACACAGACTCTAACTGATGATGGATGGGTCATAACCAAAAGCACTGCCTCTCCCTATTTGTAGCTAAATTAATAGAACAGTACCTTACTGCTTAAATCTCCTTTTTCTTCTTTGTGTCTTAATTTACTTCCATGTTGGATCACTGAGTTTATGAAGCATCTTCTACGTATATTTTTGAGGCAGAGCTTTTTAGTATGCTCTCCCTAGAGAATATTAGGACTTTATTATGCTTTATTATCAACTCTTCAAGCTTTTCTCCTGCCTGATTCTTAGCAGCCCATGTATGGTTTATCTAGAGTTTAGTGTCCCTTCCCCAAGAATAAGTTGAGGTACTCAGGAATTAAATTGCTTTCCCAAAATTACCCAGCAATGTAGATAGTTACACGTCCTTGAAGAAAACATAGTCAGAGTCCTAGTCTAGGACTTATCATGTACTGATATTACTTGCCTTTTTCACGATGTTTCAGACAAATCTATTAATCTAACAGAGCCAAATTTGAATTAGACCAACTTTAAAGAAACCTGTTTATATATTCCTTCATGGGAAAATGGCATTGAAATGTATTTAACAAAAACTACGTTCTGAACAAGTTCCATGGGTCTGAGCACGACAGCAGTCACTTGCCACCTGCAGTTCTGCTGCCGGGGGTAATACTTGGGATTGTAGTTCAACATCATCTGTGGCTATTTGGTCTGATATGTCTTAACTGAGGGACCTAAAGTCAAATCTCATCTTCCTTTGCAAACCTTCGTATAAGTTTTGGGATACTTAAGGGTACTGTCCCTACTGTCTTCCTCTCCCTCCACAGAACTTCTTGGTTTCAGCTGGAGGGCACAGGTCCTGCTGCATACAACAACCTGCCCCTGCTGGGCTGGTTGAAGTATTGTCTAACAATCTGAAGCACCAAAATTAAATGGGTATGTCTCAGAGTCAGAGGATGTGTGCTTCAGGCATTAAAGGCTCAGTCCTCTCTAGGTGAAGTTCACAGAATTTTCTTATTTTCTACTGTAGAAGTAGGTTTTGAACCAACATGAATAGAAGTAAGAAGCAGACTCTACTGAAATCAGAGTTATGATTCAAATGTGGCTTATAACTAAGAGTTCTCAGCTCTCTAATATTAGAGCATGATTCCAGCAACACAACTGGAAGGTGAAAGTAATTTGTCCAGAATGGTCCTATCTTAGTCTCTTATTTTTATTTTTTTTAAACTCAAATTTGGTGAAAGGAGCTCATGCCAGGTTAGGGCACTCTCCATGAAAAACTTGACTCCTATTATTAAACTAATGTTTATTATTATATAAACACTACAAATGAGCAACAGTATAGTATGAACAAATGCTTCTATTATGAGAAAAATTCTGTTTGTGGAAAGTAGAATTTGTAAAGGATGAACTGTATCTAAGGCTGGATACTGCACTCACATTGAAGTAAATTTTTATCTTTCTCTGAGAATTATGTGTTCCGTTTTTCTGTTAAAAGTACAAATATCAGGGTCATGCACATTCTGACTAACTCTCTGCATACATAATTTTTTTACAGTGGGACTTAGAAACCTATGAAATGGGATTGAAATTTGGCAGGTGCAGTTGGAGAAAGAACTGCTCAAGTAGAGAATTTACAGGGTTCAGGAACAATAGTTCAAACTACAAGGAAAAAATTACAGAGGCAGCATAGTGGTTTGGTTCTTGATAAATCTAACTTCTTTATTTGCTTGTTTGCAGTGATAATACTTTGTGGTGTTGAGGTCATTATCATACTGATGCTGATCTTCCTAAGAAATAGGATCCGGATTGCTATTGCACTGTTGAAGGAAGGTAGTAGGTATGTTTGTTTGATTTTAATGTATGTTATATATAATATATGTTTTATATAGATAGAGATATGGATATGTTGAATGGTATTAAATGATCTTTAGAGTACACTCTTCCTGAACTCTATCTTGCGCTAGCAAGGGCAGCAAATTGAGGTTTAAAATGCAACACTGCATTTGTTGAACCAAACAGATTCAACAAGGAGTTCAGGGGAGGCATTCAAGGAATGCCAGTTACCTTTTAATGAGATTGTGCTTAATAGAGCTTTCTCTTTTAAAGTAAGGTATTTCTTATCTCTCCACTTCTTGCCTTAAGAATACATACACTGTTGATGTTACCACATATCCTTAGTGCAAAGAAGGTGTCTCAGCAGAAAAGCTAAGTATGGTATGCTGTTCGTAGGAGTCTGGGACCTATAAGTGCCAGCTTTGCTCTGTCATTGGATTGTCCCTGGAGTTGTATACTAGTGGTAGAGGATTGGTGTTGTTTCGGCTGTGGCTTCTATTTAGGAAAGACTAGGAGTTTCTTCTGGCTCCAATCAAACTTCTGTGTGGACAGGCATAAATAAAAAAGGAGACTTCTGTGACCAGACATTTTAAGAGGGTGCAGTCTAAGATATTTCTTTTTAGCTCTGAGTGAAGGAGAAAGCAGAGCAGGATATGAGGGTTTAGGGCCTAAGGGACCCCTTCACTGTGTGTTTCCTGAAATCTGCATAGGCTTTGTTAACAGTGGTTCCTAGTTTACACAGTGCAAACACTTAGTGTTTTTATTGGTGGCTTATTTTTTTCTTTGGGGCGGGGGGGTAGGGGGTGTTGTTTGTTTGTTTGTTTTTGGTTTATTGTGGTTTTTTTAATGGGAATATTACAAAGAATAAATGGACTTTAAACTGACTGATTTAAAACACCTGGCCCTTGGGTTTCATTCCAAATAGGCTATGGTCTCATAGGCCCTGAAAGCAAGGCTGTGTTCTCAGAGCACATAGAGTTACCTCTGAGTTAATCTATATGCACTTGCTTGTGGTTTTCTGCTATCTCTGTTGCCACTGTGGTTCCTGGGAATTGGGATTTGGGATTTTTGTCATGGGATTAAGAAATATAGAAGTTCTGCATTTAGCCAGGTATCTGTTTCCTGTCTTATGCTACTGTGCAATTAGAGCATAGCAATTAATTTAGGCACCACTAAATTATACTCTTAAATTCTTGTTCATTAAAATCCAGGAACACTTTTAACATTCTTCAGAACCTTTGTTCACAGCCTTGACAGGTAGAAGGTTTTTAGAAAGTTCATAAACTTCTTGCTGATTAGTAATAACATTCTATAGTTTTCCAGCAGCATGGAAGGGTCACTTGAAGGTGAACTTTTTTCTCTCCTGCATAATGGATGAGATGAAACAGTGTATGTAATTACTGTAAACTTAACAGGCCATGTCCTGTATTTAGAAAGATAAAAAGTAAGGCACTGATGATTGGAAATCACATTATGTTTTTCAATAGCTTTTAGCTACATTTTGAAAAATATTACAGTTATAATGCCAATGATTTACTTGAAATCCATAGTTAGAAACAACAGTTGTTAATCAGTGTTTTGGAATAATAGCCAATGGTCTTAATGGTAACTAAGATGCCATTAGCTGTACACAACTAATTTGTTGTGATTGTTTCTCAGACAGCATAAGGCTCTGTCCTCCTGTGTGACTTGTAATGGACTCTTTTGTCTCTAGACTCAGACAACAATTGATGTTTTGCTTATAACCTCTGGATTGCACATAACAGTTTCCTTGCATTCGCCCCAGCATTTACTACTTTACCTTTAAAAATGTAGTAAAGTTTTCTCCTTTTGCATTTTGGAAACTACATCCTATTACACAAATAGCATCAGAAGTGCCCTATGTCACAGGAGAAATACTATAGGAAATAGTACTAGACAAAAAGGCATGTGATAAAGAGAGCCAACCCATAACAGCCTGCAGTGAACAAAGCACATGCTTTCTGAATTCACATCCAGTGAGATACCCAGCTGGCAGTGTTCACTTCTGGGACAGCAGCAGGTTTACCAAGAGGGCTGGTATCAACTCCCATTTACAGAGAACAAGCCCCTGGCAGGGTAGGAACTGGGATGCTCGAGTTCCTACTCACTAGTCACATTCTAGCCACAGGAATTAGCAGTAGAATATCAGTCTACATATGCCTTGATATTAAAAGAACCTCTCTAAGCTGTCAGCAGGAAAAGGTAATTATTCGTTTTGCCTTCCAGTAGTAATAGGTGAGCGCCACTTAGTTACAGCATGTGCAAGGAAGGTCACATAGTCGCAGGAAGGTGTCAGTCTGTCCTGGCATTGCAAAGACAAGATGACTGTCTCTGCCTCTGAATAGCTAGCACTTAATGCAGGAAAGTTGCTGAGAAGAGAGTTGTCAAATACAAAATAGAACAAGATAGTTTCAGATCTGTAAGAGTGAAGGAAGAACTCAGGATGAGCAGAGTGAGATAAGGACATAAAGGGTAATAATGTCTGCAAAGTTAGCAAGAAGATGTCATGGAAATCAGGTAATGGCCTAGAAAGAGATGGATCTCTGAAGCAGTCATGAAGAAGGAGAAAGTAGAAGACAGGCTGGAACATGGCAATTTGATAAAGTTCACTGTAGTACCATTGATAAAAGTGGAGTGGTAGAAATACTGTAGTACCATTGATAAAAGTGGAGTGGTAGAAATGACAAAGTCAAGATTTGAAGACATAAGAAAAAAATTCCTGCAGTATTCTGATATCCTAGTACTAGATTATGCTATGAGTGTCAACAAGGTTCTCAAAGTAAAATTGCTTAGAAGAGAACTGATAAAAAGCTTGTTTCTGGAATTGTATCTTACTGTTTGTTTTTTTTCTTTTATAGGGCAATTGGCTATATAATGTCTACACTGTTCTACCCAATCGTCACCTTCTTACTCATTGCAATTTGTATTTCCTACTGGGCTGTGACAGCTGTGTATCCTTCTGTCTGTGTACCTATCTGAAGCAAGTCTTCCGGTCTGCAAGACTAGATGATTTTCTGCTATTTCACATTAATTAAAACAATATTAATAGGGTTATTTGGTCACTTAGCACTTACACCTCTGATGCAGTCTTCCATACTGCATATAGACATGTGATCTACAGACTGATTTTATTTGAATTAAAAAAAACTGGACTAAAATTCAGGCCAAGGCAGGGGGATCATACAAAGCCTGTGTGCTGCATAAGGTTGACTCTAGGGGGTGAAAAGGGCTCTCAGCAAAGAGTGAATTTGGTCTTTGATGTGCTGTTCGCTCCATAGGCCTGGTGTTAATGGTTTCTTAGTTAACTGGAGGTAGAGTGGGTTGTGTGTGTTTTGTTCAGAAAAACATGAGGAAAAAGTGAGAGAATATACAGTGCACTGTCTTCTCTGAATTGCCTGACAGCAACCACTGTTTGTTCCTGAACAGCAAGCGTTTGGTAAGGACTAAAAAAAGGGAAAACTGCTATTTAAAATCCAGCTGTTTTTTCATATGCAAAGAGGGTCAGTTGCTGCTTTTCAGGGCAGTGTTAATTCATCCTTATGCTCTGTATTTACTTTTGCAAAGTACAAGAACTATTGCATAGTCTGCCTTGTCAAAGATAGATGTGGAGGAGAGATGGGGACAATTTTCAAGGTTATGCCCCCTGCCTGTTCTGCTCAGGGGTTATTACAGCTCCAGGTATGAGTCTGCCTTATTTCTCTAGGTAATGAGAGTACTTGGTCTTGTCTGTCAGCTCTTCAGATATGTCTCTGCAGATCAAAAGTAGGTTTTCTGTTATCTACGCAAGTTTTTTAGAGCTAGTAGTTACCCACTGCAGAATCCAAAGTTGCACAAAAACCACAGTTTTGTGATTCCTTCTTAAAATATTTCATTCAGTTTTCTGGCCACATCAGGAGAACCTGTGTACAAAGTAATGGCTAATCAAACACTGTGCAAGTATGCAAACCTGACTTGTGACCCAGAGGTAAGTGTGAAAAATATTTACCTATAGTGAGAGCTATACTAACTGCATTTTTTAATCATTGTTAAATGCACTTCTGGTAAAAAATGTGCATGTTTTAAGTAATGAGACCTCACGTTAAACCTGATAATATTACCTAATATTCAGGTAACACTTTCTTATTTTACAGACATAAACTAGTTTTTTCTGCTAAACTGTTCTGTAAATGTGAATATTCTAATTTACAGGGTGAGAAAGGAAGAGAAAAAAAAAAATATTGGGAAGATGTTCTTGAATTTGTGAGGAGTCTTTTTTTTGGTCTTCCAAAGGCAGTGGTAAATTTTGAAAGCTGCACCTCAGACTTGCTCAGGGACTAGCCATGATTTGAAGCTGAAGCTTAGCCGCTTCTGTCACAGTAATTATATTTATAAAGCTCCAGAAATATTTGTATTTTTTTTTAATTTTGCCCTCAGACAAATTTTTTTACTTGGCTGTGGGTTTGAATTTAAGGATTCTTTAAAAAATAGAAATATTTATCAAATGTTATGCACCAGGGGAAAAATAACCCTATGCACCAGCACAGACTGCAGGTGACCTGCTGGAGGGCAGCTCTTTGGAGAAGGACCTGGGAATCCTGGTGGGGATGACAAGCTGTCCCTGAGCCAGCAGTTTGTTCTGGCAGTCAAGAGGTGCTTCAGGAAGAGCATTCCCAGCAGGTCAGGGAGGGATCCCGCCCCTGTGCCCAGCCCTGGAGACACCTCTGGAGTGTGTGTCCAGCTCTGGATCCTCAGCACAGCAGGGACAGGAGCTCCTGAGCTGAGGAAGGGCCTGGAGCATCTCGGTGCCCAGGAGAGGCTGAGGGAGCTGGGGCTGCTCAGCCTGGAGAGGAGCCCCAGCTGAGAGGGGCCCTCAGCCCTTGCTGTCCCTGGCTGTCCCTGGCTGTTCCTGGGTGTCCCTGGCTGTCCCTGGCTGCAGGGAGAGAGCAGACCATGAACCAGGCTCTGCTCTGGGGGCCAGCAATGGGACAAGAGGCAATGAGCAGAAACCGACGCATTAAGTTTCATTGTATTGCAGTGGTGATGCACACGCTGCAGATGTCTGAACACTACAAAAGAAAGAAATTAGAATTCATCTGGTTTCATTTCATGTCCAAACCAAGCAAATACGTGAAATAAACACTAGAAATAGGGAAAAGTAATTCAGTATAAAGATGACTCCTTTTTATAATAGTCTGATATACATAAGCTAAGTTGTGACCACATCCACAGTTTGTATTACATTGTATAGCTCAGTTTTTCATTTAAACCATGGTGATTTTACCTGAACATCCAATTTGGCCTCTAGTTTTCAAGTATTTTTTTTTCCTTAATTGAGCATATTTTCTTTAATGAAGCATTTATTTATCTTAAAAGTAGATTCCTGAAATTTAAATTCCATTTATTCAAGTTTCAGGGATGTGGTTAACAGCCCTGTTTGCCAATACCTAGTTTAAACTTAAGTCTTTGCATGAGACTGAATAAGTCCTTGATATGAATCCTTAAATATGTAAACAGGTTGCGTACTGTTGCAGTTTTGAATGAGCTAATGAAATATCAAGCAGAGTTACGTTATTTGTATTAACCTGCTAAATATCAGAGGCTATGTATATAGAATTCATTGCTTATGATTGTGTTATTTTTTCTTTCTGTTTAGACTTTTAACACAACCAATGTGACTAAATTGTGCCCAGGTGCTCAGTGTACTTTCGCTTTTTATGGAGGAGAAGGCCTGTACCATAAGTACATCTTCATCTTCCAGTTAGCCAATGCCTTTGTCTTTCTCTGGCTGGTGAACTTTGCAATTGCACTGGGTCAGTGTACCCTTGCTGGTGCCTTTGCCTCTTATTACTGGGCCTACCGAAAGCCAGCTGATATTCCACTGTGGCCACTCTTCTCTTCATTTGGACGAGCAATACGGTAAGTCTGTGGAGCTGGAAGGGAGCCTTGTCATGTGTCTGACAAGTGCTCTTTTTACATCTAAAGAAGCCAGTCTTAGAATATAATAAGAAAATTATTAGTCAGCATTATAGTTTAATATTGGTGGCAGCTAAGTCCCCCTCAGCTGCCTGCTTGCTCCCCCATAGTGGGATGGAGGAGAGAATCTGAAGGGTAAAAATTTGAAAACACATGGGCTGAGATGAAGACAGTTTAATAGGTAAAAGAAAGCTGCATGCACAAGCAAAGCAAGGAATTCATTCCCCATTTTCCACAGGCAGGCATGTGTTCAGCCATCCCCAGTACAGCAGGGAATTTTCATGAATAGCAGTGTCTTGGAAAGACAAACTCCAAAATTCCAAATGCTCCCCTCTTACCCCTCCTTCCACCAGCTGATACTGCTGAGCATGACACAGGATGGCGTCGGGTATCCCTGGGATCATTTGACGTCAGCTATCCTGGCCATGTCCCCTCCCAGCTCTTCAGGTACCCCCAACCTGCTTACCAGTGCAGCGGGGTGAGGAGCGGAGCAGTCCATGGTGCTGTGCAAATGTTGCTCAACAGTGGCTAAAGCATAGGTGCATTATCATCACTATCCTGGACAAAAACCCAAAACATAGCACAGCACAAGCTACTATGAAAAAAACCACAGTCCATCCAGCCAGCACAATTGGGAAGATGTAGTTACTGGGGGAAGGCTGGATCCTGTAGCCCTACAGTACCAAGGCTGCTGCAGCTCCCTGCCCCTAGGTCCAACCAATTGTAATGCTGAGCAGGTACTCTTAGTAGACACACACATGAAATACATGTGTACAACAGATGTGTACACAGATGGAGAGACAGACACAGGACTCACAAACAGCACCAGCACCAATGGCTTCATCCCGTTCCTGTGTGGTGGATCAGGATGAAGGTCCATTAGTTTTGTGTAATTCCCACTAATGGACCTTCCTTCACTTCTGATTTTATTTGTATATACATACACATATGCATACATATATCCATGTACATGGGCACACGTGTGACGTAACAGTCAAATATTTTGTTTTTAGATACCATACAGGTTCACTGGCATTTGGAGCCTTAATTCTTGCGATTGTCCAACTTATTAGAGTAATACTGGAGTACCTGGATCACAAACTGAAAGGTGAGATTTATGAATCTGCCATAAGTTGTTAAGACCTTCCTTGCTAAATTACTTCTTTACTTTCCCAAGCTGTTTTTTAGCAAGGAAAAGAGACTAATTCAACATTATCCATTGTAGTTTATTTTGAAGCCAGTAAATTTATGTTAATTTACTCAAACTGAGTCTATGATCTTGGGAACCTAATGCAAAGTTTAGATGGGATATGAGTCTGGTCTGATTGAAAGCTAGTGAGTTAAATTTGGTTGAGAGAGAGAGTCCATACCTAGAAATAAAGAAATGTCACAATTTAAGATCTTCTCTGTATGATGTACTCTCTCCTGCTCTTTTTAGGTACTCAGAACTCCTTCACTAGATTCCTACTCTGCTGCCTCAAGTGCTGTTTCTGGTGTTTGGAAAAATTCTTAAAATTTATAAACAGAAATGCCTACATCATGGTATGTGCTGTATCTGCATATGGTCTTCCCTATCTAGGACACTGAAATATCCTAGATGCTACTAGTTGATCAGAAGGCAGCAATACTTAAATCTGCTGAATAAATAATGTGATTTATGGGAGTTTTCAGTACATGCATGTGGTTCTACCATGAAAAAATAAGATTTTTTTTTTTCCTTCTCATTTGAGCCTCCTTTTTTTCTTGCCTTTTTCCATCACTCTAACTCCCAAAATAATTGGGAAGGGATGGAATAACTGGTTAACTGCCCCCATAATTCAGTCATTGATATCCTGGTTTCAACAGGAAAATGAACTTATTTCATATTGCATGTTGATGACATTTCTCTTTGGAGGCAGTATTTGAATAAGGAGGTCAGAAGGAATGTGATAATTGTATTTCCACCTGGAAGTTAAAAGCACAAATTCTACTAGCAGCAGCAGCAGCCATATTTCTCTCAAATAAGCCTTCTTAGCTTCCAGATACAAGAAGTTTGAAATCTTCACATAAATTAACATACACAGATTTCAGCCTAGGATGTTCTGGCTTGAAGTAGTTTCAGTGATTGAGTGGTACATTCACAGACTTCCTGTCTCAAAGGAGGTGGCTGTAATGGTCTATTACAACCTGTGTTGATGTTTCAAATTATTGCCGTCTTGAAGAAGAAGCATTTTTGACAATCTTTTTTACATTTCATAAAATGTCTGAGCTGAGAGCTGTTCTAGTATATCTTACCATGCTGGACACTATTCCGGGAAGATGTGGATTTGTCCCTGAATAACTTTAGCTACTTTACTTTATGCCAATTTCTTCTTCAGGAAATGCAACATCAGGTCCAAGGAGATAGATATCTGCAGGGGTCAGCTCACTTCAGCTCTACAAGTGCCTGTTCTTTTCCACTGACTATAAATCTAGTGTAGGTAACTAGCAAAGGGAGAATCTCTCAACAAGTACCTTTTTTGCTCTGCTTCGCAAACTAGGTACTGGGTCTGCTACCTGTGAGATCACAAGAGGTGGCATGCTCATCACTAGGTGATTTGAAGGGGAAGGATGGATAATATTCTGTCCCAGCCTGATGGGAGGTGTTGAGAAATAGCAGGTGACAGAGGGAACTGATTTCTTTTCATCTGAGTTTCAAGGCCACATATTAGGGAGAGCTATGCATTACATGCAGATAGATCCTGGCATACGAGACACTACCCTAATTATTTAAAATACTTAACATCTACTATTATTTTGCAGATTGCCATATATGGTAAAAACTTCTGCACCTCAGCAAAGGAAGCATTCTTTTTGCTCATGCGGAATGTGGTGAGGTAAGGGACTATCTCCCTGTCCTTGGAAATGTTTGGAGTTCTGCTGTTGCACTCTGGGCACACTTCTTTCCTCTCCCATATCTTCCATATACTGAGTGCTGCTTCTGTCCTCAGACATGGCCCTCACTTCTTGCACTCAGTGTGTAACAGCAGGCTGGCCAGTACAGTAACCTATGCAGAGTTGATGTAATCTCATGGTTTTGTTGTTATTGGTTCTTTAAATTCCAGAATATCCAGTATATTGTAATAATGCCTCGAAGAAGCAAGTGGAGGCCCTGAGAGGAGATCTGCAGATACATGGGAATGGGATGCTCATCATCTGCCATACATTTGTTTTTTGAACTTGGTGTGAGAATGGGAAAGCAGAAAAACCTAAGTCTTCAGATTCATTCAGAAATCTTATGAGGTGTCAGAGAGTGGAAGTAAAGAAGACAGAATAATTTAATTTCAAAAAGATTGTCTTTAACATAACCTGATCTCCTCTGATGCTTGGAAATTCCCTGGCCCTTTTTTTCACTACCAAGTGTGTTGCCAAACTCCCCGTTCTCATCAGTACTTCCCTCCATTGCTCCTGGCTCCTCCTTTGCTATTGTAAGATCAAAAAATCATGGGAGAATAACTTAGGAGCAGGCCATATTGATGCAATATCACACAATCTAATTACCAAGCAAGAGACACAGTAAAGCTGGTTAGGTGGTTTAAAGCATTAAGTGAAGGACTGGGAGGAGGAGAGAAATGGACGGGAAGGCTGAAAGAGGAAAGTGGAAATTATGCTTGTGAAAGAAGAGGAAAGAACTGGAGTTGGGAGATGAAATATCTTCACTGTGTTACCCTGCACTGATATCAGGACAGTGATGTCCATAATGAGTAAAGGCTGTGCAACAGAGAGGAGAAGCTACCTTTATTTCCTTACAGAATATCATCTCTCTGCTCTTTATGATTTTGCTCTAAATCAGTAAGAACAGTTAAAAGCTAGACATATAATTCTATTGTTTCAAATAAAGGTATTTTTATCTTGTGTATTTTGCTAAATCTGAATTCTGACAGGTTAATGATGATTTGTCTCTTTAGTAGTTCTTAACATTTATTTTTCACAGTAGTTAGGACTATATATACCATATCCATAATAGTAATGTGGCCCTCAATGCTGTCAAGAGGTTGATGATACAAAGTTCATTTTTCAGCCCATCATTTATCTGCAGTTTCTGATTCTACAGGCTGGCAGGACATTGAGCAGAAACTCCCTGTTGTGCTTCAATGAGAGCTGCAGATTTACTGTCAGCTTTTCTGTCTGTCGTCTTTCATCTGTGATTATCTTCCTGCTTTGAAGTCTCCTGCCTTCCATGTTGTACCATGATATCTTAAAATAGTAGATTTGGCATGTTATGGGATCATGAAAGATGGCCAGATAAGACCAAGTTGAAAGGAGGCCTACCAGCAATCTACATAAATGTTGCTTTTTGTTTTGATGTGTACTTCCCCTATTCTGGCTTGGCTTATCTGTGCCCCTAGAAGTAAGCCTGAAATAAAAATATTTTGAAGTTTTGGGTTGGCTGATTTTTTTTTTAAACCAACTTGAGGAATAAACAGTCTTCATGTCAATCCTGTAGCAGCATTGCCACATTAAGGCCTTATTCAGCAAAGGCTCAGTGCTTTTTTGCCTCCTGAGATTACGCTGTAGCAACACCCATCTCAGCACTGCCTGTCTGTGGTGTTGTGTTGTCAGGTTGTAAAACCAGCAGAAGACAGCTTCTGGTCATATTTTGCAGTTATCCATAGATTTAAGGAGAAAGAATACAAATGTCTGGTTTGTGATGATTATGTATCATTTGTCCTTTGCTAAACAGGGTTGCAGTTCTGGACAAAGTTACAGACTTCCTTCTATTTCTGGGGAAAATCCTTGTTGCTGGTGGTGTGGGTAAGCCGTTTGTTTGTTTCTTTCTTTTTCTAAATTGTGTGCTCTATTTTCTGGTACCCACAAGCACGCCTGCCATGTTCATATATGCTTAGTTAGCAGCTGGAGGTTCTCATTGGTCTGAGTATTCGGAAATCTCTTTCTGTGTTTCTAGGGTTTGCTAGATTGAACTAAAACCTTTTTTCTTTATTTTCCCCCTTTCTCCCACTTGCCCAGCACCTGGTTTGCCTTGGCAGCATCTTTTTTATAATTGCTTTTACAGCTTTTGCATGTGTGGCTCGTGCAAGGACTTCTGCAGCCATGCATCATAGTTGAATCAAACAAAATTCACATCCAATAAGTCAGCCACAGTCAGTTCTCCTTTTGTAAGAACTGAACAAAATTGCAAATGAGATTCACCTGTTAACAGACAACTGCCTACAAGCTGTGAAGGTACAGGTCTGCAGGAATGGACCTGAAGCTCTGCTGTGTTCAAGCCCATTACAGCTATAAGCTATAGTAAAATAAATAGAATATTTCTAGCATCCTTATAGGGTTTTCTTTGTTATCAGTAAATATCAAGGAGATTATTCATGGTTTGCTGTGACAAAAAAGTGTTTTTCTATTTTTTAAATGAAGCACTTTCAGAAATACAAGTTGTCACTATTTTGTCATCACTGTAGAATTACATTATTTATTTATTTTGCTGCTAAATTCAGTAGTCTTTCTGGGCCCATTAATATCTTTATGGTATTTTATTCATTTACATGTCTCTTCTGTTTGATAATTAGTATTGAAGAATGTATTGTTTACAGACTTTTATTGAAACCAGCCTTGGATCTGTTGTCTGTCTTATCCATTCTTTAGATCATGGGAAATCAGAGCTAGCATGGGAATCACTAATTGCCTGTGCTTCTTGCAGGTGTTCTTGCATTCTTTTTCTTCACACAGAGAATACCAGTCTTTGCACAGGAAGTGCCAATGCTAAATTACTACTGGGTACCATTGTTGGTAAGGCAACCATTTAATCTCCTGAATGCTTGGGGCATTGAGGAACTTGGACTACTCAGAGCATGGTCTGGGAACAGCTTCTTTGGTCAGCATCCCAGCGTATCCCATCATAGTATCCACTCAAGTGAGGACTGAGCGGCTGTACTCCAGTCCTCAGGATCCTTCAGGCAGAAGTGGCACTGCAGTGACTCTGAGCCTTCAGAAAAATTAGGTTTCACATCTCAGACTTCCCAGACAGCAAGACACTGATGACACAGTATGTCTTCTAATGGAAAGGACTTGCAATGCATCTCTTTCTCCTTTTGTTGCTCCCCCCCCGCCCCCCTTAAGCTTCAGAACATCTCTAGGCTGAGTGGTTCTTGAAGGATTTCAAAATATTCTTGACATATATTCTCCTCAGAAGTTGAAATAGTTCCAGTTTGGAACTATTTCAAGCTGGGAAACTAGAAGCTACTACTATGTTAGAATGCAGTGTCTTGAACCTGTGATCCCTGTCAGTAGTAACCTTTGGTAGAAGTACAGAGTAGTAACCTTTGGTAAAAATACAGAGGTGACATTAAATTCTTCTAAATTTGATTAGCAGACTAGGCTTCTGACTTATGTTAATACTACCACAGTGGTGCCAAAAGAAATTTGGGAGTTTATTGTGGTTTGTTTTTTGTAGACAGTCATCATTGGCTCCTACCTAGTTGCACACGGGTTCTTCAGCGTCTATGCAATGTGTGTCGACACACTTTTCCTCTGCTTTTGTAAGTACTACGTTTTCTTTCAGTAATACCTGCAAGTCATGGAAAGAGGAGTTGAAAATCACCTTATCCATTCTTACAGAATCTGGTGACATACTAGCAAACTATATGAAAAATTAGCAGCTTCTTCTTTTCATATTGTCTCTGTGATATAGTCTTCTGTGCTTTAGTATTCAAATTTAATTACTTTAAGAAGTGTAAGGTAGCTTTATGTTTTATGGAAATATCTGGCTTTTGTTTTTCAGCTGTTCTTAATTTCTTAATGTTCTTAATTTTCAACTGTCCTTAAATTTCATTAAGTTTGCTTCTTGGTGCTTTGTGAAGAGCCCTGTACAGTATTGATTTGCTTAAGTATCTTGACAACAGCAAATATATTATTTGGTATATAGATGGTACTTGCTTTTCAGTTTCATAACCTTGAACAAAGTATTATGCTGAATTACCTCAAAGATTCTATAAAATACCACTTGAAACTATCCCTTGGACTCCAAATGGCAAAAAATCATGGGCCCTGTCGAAGGGACTACTGTTCAGGCTGTACAGTCAGAGAATACTAAAATCACAAAAGAAATCTGTTGTTCTTAAATTAGGATGTGATTATAAGAAGCAGGCATCCTTATCATGTAGTACTTTCCATGTGCTGTATTTTTCTATAATGAAAGCTATTCTGGTAGGTCCAAGTAGAAGTTAGTTACATGGTAGTGATTTTTCTTGCAATTTGCAATTTATTTGACAGTACTAAGGGAAATAGTCATAGGCTTTCATAAATACGCACTATAGGTTACTGAAGTGAGGTAAACGTGGTAATACTGATGCTTTAAACACTCACTTTTATCTTGCTTCCCTAGAAACTAAGGTTAGCAGGGATTCTGAAAAACTGGGTTGCCAAAGAATCACAATAACAAGATCAGTTAGAAAACTCAAAATTGCTATCTAGTTCAGAACTACATCCTATTTATCTCGTGTTATGCTTATGGTTCACACCATAAGAAAGTAAGCAAACATGAACACAAGCAGACATAACACTAATAACACTCAAAGAAATAAGCTAAGCCACAAATAAATTTCTGAATTATTACTGTTACGTATTTATTTATTTTGTTATTTAGAATGGACTATAGCAAGTTTGTTGGTGCACTCAAAACCAAATATATTTTCCTTTTAGTTTATTCCAGAGACACGTGGTATATATTGCCACGGAGATACATTAAGATTTGCCTCCTCTAGCTTCTTTGGCCACTCCTTACAGCTCAGACTCTCATCTTGGCTCTGGAGGTCCAGCTGTCTGCCTCTGCAGGGTTGCAGTTTCAGTGACACTCACTCACGATTGCCCATTGGCATGTAACTGTTCATTGGTCTGTCACTGCTGCATGGCACCAACTGAGCTGAACCCTGACTAGTGATTTAGTCATCACCTTCCGTAGGAAAAAAAGTAATGTCTGCCTTGTTGTTTTAAATTCATATTCTGTTCTGCCTCCCATTAAGTAAAGAACAATAGATCAGATAGAATATTATTACTTCACGGCAACAGGTTTTCAAGTGAACTTTATCTTAGGCAGTGAAAAATGGTCCAGTTTTAGAAAGTGCTTAACTCCATGGCTGTCTTCATGACATATTTTCTAGCAAGAGGTTTCCAAAATGCCAGGGTTCAGTGAAGGAATGAGAATTCCTGAAAATTTCCACCTATACTGCCAAACCAAAGATCTGGACAATAAAATGGATGTATTGCTATCATTAAAAAATGGCAAGATGTTTGTGTCTCTCCTTCATGTAAAACCTCTTTTAGTCTAAGAAAATAGAAATTTTATAATGTCCTTTGCCAGCTTAATAATAAAGCTAAATCACCTTGATTTTCTTTTAATGTTGGGTGTTTTTCTCCCTCCTTTTTTCAATTCTGTTTGTGTGTCTGTGTGTGGTTGTTTCCTTTTCTGACTGGTTTTGCTGTGTAAATTCAGGTGAAGACCTGGAAAGGAATGATGGATCTACAGCAAAACCCTACTTCATGTCAGCTAGCCTCCACCGAATTCTAGGAAAGAAGAAGCTAAGCCCTAAGAAGGCAGTGGGATAATGAACACTAAACCTCAACATCAAAAAGTGTCACTTTTAAGCAAAACATGTATAAAGTAGGCAAAAGTAAAAACTGTAAATGATGCTTCTGGTTAATGGGTGATTCTTTTCTCCTTTTGGGAAAAAAAAAAAGGCAACATTGGTAACATTTAACTAGTTTAAATGCTTAAACTAACAGCTGTGAAAACAAGGCCACATTTTAGTTTATAGAGTGCCTATGAAAAGGAAAATGTAAATTTGAAACTTTTATAAGTGTATAATGATGTTTTAATAACTTTTGTAATACAAGTTGCTGCATTAGATGACAGCAGTTTTGATAATGTTTCTTCTTATAAGTGTATATTTGTAAAAGAATATCAGGCAATTTTTTGAAAGCACTAAGTATAACCTAATTAGCCATAAAAAAAAGATAGTTTGAAACTCTAGTTAACGAGGAGATGGTACTAAATTTGTAAATATGGTGCTATGATTGTATTTTTTTGTATAAGCTGGTTCACAGCTATTTAAACTGTGATTATACATGTATTAATGATTCCCTACACTGAAAAACGTAGTGATATTTTAATCACATCCACAACTGCATCTTTTAAGACATGATGGTACCCTGCAGGTCCCAAAGAAGGTAGTCAGAAAAGACTTTAGTTGATACTGCTTAACGTGAAGTTTTCTGGGAGTTGTGCTTAAAAGATGATATAACTGAGAGAAGGTCCCACTGCAGCTGAAGTGATTTGTGGTTCACACAAATGAGGTTTCATCTGGTACAAGATGGTGAATGTATAATTTTTAGCTGATGTCTAAGAGAGATGCACATGTGTTACTATTCCCCTATCATTGACAAGTCTCTGATTGCATTCTGTGTTATAAGGAAGTTGAACTTCACTGAAAGGGAACTAAATGCACTCTTTTTTTCATTGAAAGAAAGTCTTTACTCTGTGTGTGTGCACAGGGAGTTTCATTGTCTCTGCCTAGCTTAGAAGGGCTCCTACCAAGCCATTGGAATGACTGTGCAGGTGCAGAAGGTCAGGGCTGCGCTTCCTGCATGTCTCTGTGCTCCCAGGGACTCACACAGTAAGGTACTAGGACATTGAACTCAAGTCTTCTCATGGTACAGGATGACTTATTCAAATACTGTGAGTACTGAGATGCTCTGAAAGATTTAGTTTGCTTTTTGATTGTTAAATTTGCCCAGTTACTAGTACTAAAAGTCATTGATACACCTGTTGGTAGAAAGCACGTTAACATTCAGCGTGTTTTATGACCCTCCCAGTAGTGGAACTACTATAGTCACTGCCATTAAGTAACAGCTCCGCTGATGTAAAAGGTCTTAACACTGGAGAGTTTCTCAGGTCTGTTACTGCCAAGACTGAGCTAAAAGTATTTTAATTTATTAGTCTCCTGGGGGAGCCAAGGTCCCAGCCATACTGAGGCCAGCCCCTAGTTTTCATGGATTCCAGTGTACTGAAGAAGTTATTCCAGTACTGTCCACTTTTCAGGAGTGGCATGTGCCATACATTTGCCATCTCTATGACAGGAGTTCAGCACCTGGAAATACGTTCCTAACCCTAGAAGTCCATTGGTGTCACAAAAAGAAATGCAAATTCTTTTCCAGATGATTTGAAGGCAAGTTTCTAGGGAAAATTTACTGACGATCCACAGCCCAGTGGGATTTTGCTCTCTAATTTACAGCTCTGTTTGTGGTAACTGTGATCACTGCAAAGGCAGTAACACTCTCCTTCATGCCATGGGTCTGGGGTCATGTTGATACACAAGTGACTACCATCCACATGCTTGCAGTCATAGGCATGGTAAGATCTTGAAATTCAGTCCTGAGGTGCAGGTGGGAGTGTCCTTGTAAGCTTTCTCTGTGGTCCAATGGGTGCTGGAGCCCTTTTCCCTGAAGCAAAAATGGGGGGTTCAGTTTTGGACTCAAATAATGTAAAATAAAGGCATAGGGTTTCAAATGTTGCTACTGATTATAGGCACCTTTAGATTTTGGTAACTGCTCCTGAGATACCCTAGAGTAAACTTGACTTTCAGGAAGGACTGAGAGTCCCACCTTTTGGAAAAAAAGGACTCCTGAGGGATGAAGTTTTTCATCATCATCATCATCATCATCATCATCATCATCATTAATTTCTCATTATGTGCATGGCATGGATTACACAACCCCCCCATGATCCTAATATTTTCTGAGGATTTAGTCAGTAACTTTTGGGGGTATGTGTAACTATTCTGTGATTAAAGAAGCTGTTGGTCGCACTACAATCCATGTTGTAAACCATTTTTTTGTTTTGTTTTCAATACTACTGATTAATTTTCAGCTAAAGAAACTGCATTACATAATCTATATTTCTACTGGACTTGAGTGTCTTACTGGGAGCTCAACTGAAAAAGCATATTTCTGATTATAGCTTGCTTTTTTATCATATGAATGTAACCACAGCGTTTACTAGGAATAAAACATTATAGAAATAGTATACAGTTATTTGATTAGAAAACTTTTGTAACAAACCTATGCATTTACTAAAGGAATTTCTAAAAGTGAAAGTTTTAAATTGTATTATTATTTATATATGGTAAAAAATATATGTGTATAAATTTGCTCCTCTCACTATTTTGTGAAAATATTTAGAATGTACTGATCATCATTTCTGAGGAGAAAATTTGAAAGCCATTTTCTTATGATATAATTACGAGAACTGTGAAAATAAAAAGCAATACCATGTAGATATTGTAATAAATAAGTAATTCAGTAAGTAAGTAGTAATTATTTAATATTAAAATTGGCTTTTTAAAAATAAATTCTTAATAATTACTAAGTCAAAATTAATGCAAATATTTACTTGGGAAAAATTCACTTAACTTGTTTCAAGACTATCTTATTATAATGGTTCCTAATTAATCCCGTGCGCCAGAGTCTGCAGATGTGCACCACAGAGGAGTACTAATATTGACACTTACGGATTTGGACTTTTACTTTATTGCTTGGTTTAGTATAAAATTCAAAATTCCATTTTTACGTTAGAGAGTGGAACACGGTAAAATATGCCATGTGCTTTGCTGAGCCCCCCGGAGCTGGTGACACAGTGGCCACAGTGCCACCAGCTGCGCTGGTTCTGTGCACGTGGTGCTGATGGACACAGGGCGTGGGGGCCCCAGAACCCGCAGGCTCCCCAGCACGAGTCAGGGTTATGCCAGGCACCTTCTCCCTGGGAGGAGCTGTGGAAAAGCAGGTGGATCTGAAGAAAGACCCTTTTACATAAGTAGAAATAAAGAACATTCTCAAGATCACAAACAAGAAGAATGTAGAAACCAAGACAGTAGAAAACACTGCTTTCACATCCATGAAATCATGTTTGTTTAGTTTGGTTTGGATTCATTGTATCTCCCTAGACATATTACCGAATGGCTTCCATTTACATGTTTTATACCAAAGTTTTAATGTCAAGCCTTCAAATTTTGTAAAAAAAAAAAAAACCAGAAAACCCAGAAAAATTAAAAAAAAAACCCCCAAACCAAAAAAAAAAAAAAAAAAAAAAAAAAGCCACAACAAAAAAAACCACAAAAAACCCCCATGGAAACAAAACAGAAACAAGAAGACAGGATCATTTCTTCTGCTGAGGGTTTTTTTCCCCAAACAGTATTCAGCAGATGATTCTTGGGTGATCCAAGGATACTGAATATTCAAAATTATAGTATTTAATGAAATATTTTACAATTGCATGTTCTGCTCTAGAATGGGAAAAATATTTTGGTGGATGCAATGTCAGGCTGATTCTGGAATAGTCAGTAGGTGTTTTTCCACAAATGGGCTGTCAGAGAAGTGATTATGGAGAATAAACTGACAGTTTTTGAGTAACCCAGAATGTCTCCCTTTGGCCAGTTGCTCAGCCTGCACAGCTGTGTCCTTGCAGACCAAGTGCCTTACTGGCTGTTACTTTACCTAGCTTACATTTTGAAATTCATTTATACCGTGTAGACTACAAAACAGAGAAGGTTAGAGAGGAAAACCAACACTTTATTTCAAACTGACTAACAAAAAATGAACTGTAGTGAGGATGTCAGATGTGTTTGCACTGTGTGATGCAGCACCCATCATTTCCCTGTTGCTGTTGTCAGATTATGAAAGTTGATTTTGTGGTCCAGGAGAAAACATGACAATAGTGTTGCAAATAAATGAAAACAATGCAAGACTGTTCCATTTTTATACAGTAGATTTTTAAAATAGCTTTAATTTGTGATACAGTGGACTTCTGAGTAGGGCCTATTCTGCTTTCTGTTTACAATGGTCATGCATGTTGTACCTGTGTAACTGTGGGTAGAACTGGGCTCTTGCTACTTACAACAGAAGGAATAAAGCTAAAAATTACATCTGTATTACTGTAATACATCTATTTGTGTGTTCACAAGCATAAAGTTCCTTCTCATTTCAAGACTGATAATTTCCTATTCTGAAACCATTTTATAAATTGTTCTAAATTTTTAAACTTTTGATACAGGCAATGATTTTTGGGGTAATATGTAATTTGTACTGCACTGTAAACAGTTAGAAAATGAGTGTTTCTTCATGTTCAAGTAACACTAGTGCTACTAATATTAAAATTGTCTCTTACTCTATGCTACAAAATGTCCACATGCATTTGTCCCAAACAGAGTTTTAAAACCATAAAAATGGCTCTTTGAGGTATAAGAAATGAAAGGTAGGTTACTGTTTCATTAATATGATTCTTAAGATTGTATTGTTTTGCCGAAACCGATTTAACATGAGCACGATGATTTGAGCTCTAAACCCTGTTGCTTCTGCTATGCAGAAATAGAATCCTATTGTTTAAATATCTTTGATAACAGAAGTGCTTAATTTTGTTGTTAACTTCACCGTTTTCCAGTTCCTGGGGATTGTTCTAATAAAGATTTCAATATAAGCCGGAGTGCGTGTGCACCGCGCCGGGCTGTACGGGGCTGTGGGAGCGGGGTGCGAGGCGCGAGGCGCAGTTTGGTGCTGAGGGCGCGCGTGGTGATGGCTGCCGCGTACGAGTGGAGCAGAGGAGGCGCCTGGAGGGGCCACTGCCGCTGCTCCTGGTCGGA